ACACACAAAGACAGAAACAAATAACAGCAATGAGGTTGCCACCCCTCTGGCTTTTTCTTAGAAAATGTTATATTTTAGTACTTGTTGGCTAATCCTCCACCCGTTTTCTTTAGCTGTGGCAATTTACTTCACAGCTTCCATTCAGCTTCTAAGGACTCAAAGTTGCAGCGTCAGGACACAAGTACCACTTTCTTAGTACTGGGGAAGTGTCCAGATTAATCCTCACTTTGAAGATGAGCCAGTGTACAGTCCAGGCAGCTCCTCAAGCCTGGTCCTCACTCAGATCTCTTTCCTTTGAGCAGTGGAGTCATCTGCTCTGACTTCCCTCCCACAGTTTAATTACCTCTCTCCAGGTTTTCAGTGAATGGGTGACTCAGCAAGATGACTTTTAAATGAGCTTTCACATTTAGCAATTCAGCCCACATGCAAAATGGAACACGGACTGATTTTTTTTTTAAGTAAACATACCAAGAGTTTTATATCTAAATTAATGTTTTTGTTCAAAATAGTCACTCTGGCAGATAACATTCTTCCAAATGTATAGTGGTTGCTCAAATCACTGCTTGAACATTTCTTAGGAAATTGGCTTGAGGCACATGTAAGTATAAAATGATTTTTAAAAATTTAAGCAAGGATATGCATGTCTTCCCACTCTCTCTTCTTTAGAGTGTCTCCTTGAAAACTAAAAGGACGCAGACTTCTGTTTTTATAAAGCAAGGTCACAAGCATTCTGACCCTTGGTACTATACTTCCAAAATTAACAAAGGAGTCTCAGGAGATATAAAAGAGACAATCATGAGGTGCATTTATTTATATCTCCATAAATGTAAGACATTTTAATTGTTCTTTCTTCTCCTTTACTGTACAGATCTTTGTGTAATTCTGTCTATAGTCACTTCTATGCCACTGTACCTGCATGTAAATCTTACAACAACCTACCCATTAAGAAATGTATTTTCTGTCTTCTGTATTGTTTCAAATGGGTCTTCTGTGGGTGGGATTGTATTATTTCCTCAACATCTGTTAACATGTGCATTTAAGTATTTTAAACCGATATTTTCACAGGCAAATTTGATTACTGAAACTGTTTTCAAAAGTTGCATGTAATTCAATAGTATAAATAACTATACAAGATTATAGATTTTTGAGATTAAAAAATGAGATAGAAATCCTTAATAAAAAAGTCCATTTAGTTAGGCATGGTGGCACATGTCTCTAATCCCATGACTTGGGTGGCTGAGTCAGGAGGATCACCATGAATTCAAGGCCAGCCTGGGCTATCCAATGAGTTCAAGGCCAACCTAAACTACACAGTGAGACCTTGTCTGAAAAAAACAAAAAAAAAAACAAAAAGAAAAAAGAAGTCCATTAACTTTATTAAAATAAAAGAAAAATCATTCCACGTGAGCCAGTTTAATGAGATCAGTGCTCTGTCCTTATTATCAATTTACACCTTCTTGAGTTATTTGGGGCACTGTGGGAAATGGAGCCAATGTGTGACCCAAGTGCCCTTAACAATGCGTTTTCATACCATTTCAGCACGTTTAACATTTCTTCCTTATCTGAATTCAAAATAATGCTATCAGCACAGAGGGATAGGCAGCAGTGAAGTCATTAGCTTTTCTTTGCAAGCCTTTGTGAGAACTTTATGAATTACAGGAAGAACCTTGGAGTGGGGCTCAGGTGAGGATGCTCCCAGCCCCCTGGCCTTGGCTTCCCCCTCTATACAAGGAAGGTGTAGACTAAGTGATTGACAAGTGCCCCCACCCCGCACTACCATCCTGTGACTGTTACCATGTGTACCTTGTTACACACAAGTGACCACCAGGCATGGGAATGTCTGTTACAGGAGCAAATGCTTTGGGCTGTTCACAACACACTATGAATGCCTTTCCAAAGAAAGGTTGTGGCAAATAGTGGATATTTTGATTATGAAAATTAGTTTCTCTTAAGCTTTAGCTAGAGATATAGCAATATTGTGATGTTTCCCACAAATACCATGATATAGGCAAACAAATATTTTTCTATCAAAAATCATTTTTGGAAAAGCTGCGTGTTTTTATGCAACTTGTGATAATAAATTTTATCTTTATTTCAGGATAAAAAATATCATTATGGCTTTAGAAAAATCTGTTCATGGTTTTAGTATATGCATGTATTATAAATATGGTGTAAGTATCAGCTAATGGGTCTCCTTGTTTGTTTTTTTTAACAAATAAACTTGAATTTCTATTCCCTTCAAAGAAATACTCTTGGACTTTAACTTGTGATCCATTCAAAACCATAAACAGATTTCTTTCTACAAGTAATAAGTGATCTTTTTTCCTTATTTTTACATGTCCTTAAACAGGCTTCTTCACAAAAGATGCTAAATATTTTTGCAATAGTTTATAATATTTAAGGCTATTAAACACATATAGATTCGATGAAGTCCAAAGAAGAGGAAAAACTAATTTTGTATCATTTTCCACATATCCTGAGGCCCCATCTTTGGCTATGCAGAGAACATAAAATCAGATACCTTTTTTTGCTCAACAAATTCATACTCTAAGTTTTAGTAATAACCTAGATGCAAATATAAAAGAAGGAAAGAGAAGCCTCAGGAGAAAGATGACAGGACTGAGCATTGCCAGGGGACTCTGAGGACTAATTCAGTGCCATTTGCACAGCCACCTGAGGTAGGTAGCCTTTTGAAGTGCCAAGCTTTTGCATGAACCTCTTGTTGGTTATTACTAGAAACCAAAGCTCTCTCAGAGTAACACATGGCTGTTGACCTGCTTCTCATCTCTACAAAGAGGCAACACCCAGCATCTCTCCATGAGCTGGGAAACCTGGGTTCTTTAGACAGCTTCTCCACCAAGGAGCAGGAGGACCTGAGCAGGGCCCAGGAGTCTCTGGATCTAAAAAATGAGGGGAAGTGATGAGCCCCAAGATCCTTCTACCTCAATACTAATATGCTGACTCTGTAAGACCTAGGCATGGATCATTTAGAAGAGTATTTCTCCAGTCTAAAAGGCCCTAAGAATCATATGGAAAGAATGGTCTTTTAAAAATTGTAGACTGTTGATCATTACCACAAAAGCTCCAGGGGAAGAGCAAGGGACACTAAGTTTTAAACTGGAGGCTCAGATGACATGGTAGTAAGACAATCATGGGATACAAGCCACTCTAAGTTCCCACTGTGCTACCTGGCTTTGATATATTTTCACAATAAGAAGAAAGCTGTGAGTGTATTCTTCTTATTTCTCAAATATGACCAGATGTTATCATTTTGGCTTGTAAAGAGCAGAACTAAGCCATTTTGCTCATTGTTATTCTTCTACTAAATAAAGTAATGAATCTCCAAATTTGTACAAAGAATTCAACAGATCTACTTCATTTTAAATGAGAAAAAAATTAGTCCAGTCTGCAAACATTGTGAATTTGTTGGGCTCTTACACAAAAATATGTTTTTATTCCCCTATAAAAGAAGGGGGAGAGAGAGAGAGAGAAAGAGGGAGGGAGAAAGAGAGCTCAAAAGTGGCTGTAAAATGACCTTTGTTACCAGCCATCCCAAAAATGCCATAATAAGCAATCAAATGCAAAAAATCCAGTGATGTGTGCTGTTCATCTTCCCTGATGGAAAACAATGACCTGATTGATTCTGTCTCCAGCAGAGAGGTGGCCAGGCCCTTTGCAACACAGGCCCACCAGGAAGAAGGGAAGGCCCCGGCTGTGAATGCCAACCCAGCACTAGCTCACTGCTGTAAGTGTAGCCATTGAAGGGTTCACACCTGTTCAGAAGGGCCTGGTTAACACGGACTCAAACTCAGCTAACAGCTGCATCCACTAGGACTACACAGCAGTAGGATTCCCCAGATACTAACAATAGTAGTCATTATGATACCATAGCAGACTTCAAGGGTTTTTTTAAACGTGTAGCATACATATCAAGCATGCAGGTGCACACACAGTTTCCATTACAAATCCCTGGGTTGACACATCCACTCTACCCTTTAGGGTTTAGAAAGAGTCATTAAAACAGAAAAAAGTGAAATCCAGCTCTTAAGTAGGGAGAAACCATGGAAGTGTCTCAATAAGAAAAATTTTAAAGGAGTGAAATGCCCAAATTTTGTAATCTTTAGAGGACACAAATAGTCTTTTTTAGGAATTCCCTGCCTTCAACAAGCCCAAGATTTGAATGGATGCCTAAAATAAAATGAACATCTCACCTTACTACTTCCTTCTTGCTTTTTACTGATAGGAAGACCATCTGGATCACATGCTTAGATTAATGAATACATAGATATAAATAAATAAATAGCCAAGAGACAGTCTGAGGAGCAGCAAAAACCATATAACTGACTTGCCCAGGAAATTGGCTGCAGTTTCCAGAGGTCATCTCTCAGCAGAGCATTGTGACAATGTCTGCCAACTAACTACTTTTTCAGGGCTCAGTTCTGAACATTGAAATTTGGAACCCACAATAATTGTACAGTGGTGGTAGAAACAAGTATGTTCAGGTAGGCACTGGCTAGGATGGCATTTTTGCTGATGCATAGAGTATATCTATAGAAACATTTCATCCTTTTGGTTAAGTGTGATAAATCTCTTGCTTAAGTGGTAAGTGGTTTTCTTTGGCAAAACTTTAAAGAGAGACATCAACACCTGCAATCCATGGAAAAGGAAGAAATTGGTCAATAACTAATGTATAGATACTGCCTTCCAAAAGAGGCAGAGATTGGTGGGGAGGGGCTGCTCCATGTAAAGACAACTCTGCAGGTCCCAGAGTGGGGATAGGATGCCAGAAACAATAGGAACCCAGCAGTCCTGCTTAATTTGCAGCAAGACCCAACCAGATATTGAGGGCATGAGCTTCAAGAACTAGCCCTAGGAGAGCAGGCTGGTAAGAGTTAGACATCATATTTAACCAACAACCAGCCTCAGTTGAAAGCAAAATTCTGGCCAAAGAAACACACAACTGAAGGAGTCCAGTCACATAAACACAAGCATTTGCTTACCAGCCAACCTGGAGGAACATGCAGGTGCCCACAGGGTATACCCAGGTATCCAGCAGACATGATCAGCAGGTGGTGCCAGACACATTGCTTTTTAAGTGCCAGCCTTGTTGAGAATTGGATACTGGACTCGGTATTTGAAGGCATCAAAGCAACTGGATATAGCTAGGGAGGAACAAATGGAAGGTCTTTTAAGCATTGAGGCTTATTGGTTGAGCCATTGGTAGCAACACTTTGAAGCCCTACTCTGCTATTTCCAAAGCCAAATTTAATTGAACATTGTTACTCAAATAACACTATCCTCTCTACTACAAAAAAGAAATGAAAAGAAAAACACACACAAAGCCATTGCTCATTGCTTAATTAACCCTACCTAATCATCAGCATACTTATAAATGAATAAAGATCATGAAATTTAGGATATAAGCTTATTAAAACCTAACATCCTAAATTGTGCAAAAGTGTGTCAGTAATAAGTATATCAATGATATTTACAACATATAAGAGGTGACCCACACATTGCTGATGTTAAATCCCTTATTAACATGCCTAGGAGCATACAGCTCATCCCTTTATTTTGAGTCTTTCTCTTTCCCAAGCCTCTTAAAATCATTTTATATAATATTTCTACATCTTTGTATGCTTGGTTTTAGCCTGAATGCAAATTCCCTCCTAAGAGATCAGAAGGAGAGAGCTGGATGTTTGGAGATCTTATCGTGATGCAGACATGGACCAGGTGATACAATAGTACAGAAGCTCAAGGCTAGCTAGTGAGGTTTTTATCATATCACAGAGAAAAGGAAGAAATCTGCATTGAATTTTCAAACCTCTGCTAAGATCATTTGTAAAACACAGCTCTAAAAAACATATATCAAGAAATACTTAACAGTAAACAAACACCTCAATAAAAAGTAGCCACAGGATTGCCTAGACCCTTCACCAAAAATATACTATGGGCCGGGGATTTGGTTCTGCTGCCTGCCTCACCAGAAATATACAAGTGGCAAATAAGAACATGGATAGATGCTCAACAACATTAGTTTAAAAAATGTGAATTTAAATCATAATGAAATGTCATCATATCTTTATTAGAATAGCTACATTTTAGGAAAAATGAAAGACAATCAAAATAATTATAAGGATCACAGCATTAAGAACTCTTATACATTGCTGATAGGAATATAAAATAGCACAGACACTTTGAAAAATTGGAAATTTCTTATAAAATTCAGTATATATTTATTGTATGCCCCAATAATCTCACTCCTAGGTATTTACCAAAATAATAATAGCTTATATCCACACAAATGTTTACACAAATGTTTTATTTATAATTTCTCAAAATTGAAACAACCAAATATCCAACTATTCATGAACAAACTGTGGTATACCCATACAACAGAATTCCTCTCAGAAAAAAAAGGAAGGTAGGAAGGGAGAAAGGGAGGGAGAGAGCTAAGAGGTGGGAGGGGGAAGGGATGGCCTAAACTTCTGGAGGAAATGAGTTCCAATTCAAATGCAATGGAAAGAGCCACAACAGGATTTTGTGAAGTCTGTATTCATGCAGTAGGATGCAAACAAGCAAATAAGCATCTTAGAATACATTTCCTGGGGAAAAGAACCTAAAAGCCAAAGTTTCTTTAAATGTATCTTTTAAAATCTCCAAGATAATTTTCCATCTCTTTGAAATAATTCCAGCCCCGCCATGGCACCTAATAATCAGCTTTATCTGTGAAGATCCTACCCATTCTTCACAATGCAACTCAGTGTGGAAGTCCTGCCATGGCACTGTCCTGAGGGCTACCCCAGGAGCTGGCTGAAGCTGTGGCCGGGGGCTGGGTGCTGGTTGTGGGCACGGGTGGCATTGGCTGCGAGTTCCTGAAGAACCTCGTGCTCACTGGTTTCTCCCACACCAACCTGATTAATCTGGATACTATTGATATCAGCAACCTCAACAGGCACTTTTTGTTTCAAAAGAAACACACTGGAAGATCAAAGGCACAAGTTGACAAAGAAAGTGTACTACAGTTTTATCCAAAAGCTAATATTGTAGCTTATTATGACAGAATCATGAACCCTGACTACAATGTGGAATTTTTCTGCTTGAAGTCGGCTGCCATTTATTCAAGCAGATGACTTCCTTCAGGACTACACTTTATTGATCAACATCCTTTGCAGTGAAGACCTAGGGAAGGATGTTGAATTTGAAGTTGTGGGTGATGTCCCAGATAAAGTAAGGGCCAAGCAAGCCAAAGATGTTACCAAAAGCATAACCAACGGCAGGGATGATGGAGCCCAGCCCACCTCCACAGTACAAGAGCAAGATGATGTGCTCATAGTTGACTCAGACGAAGAAGGTCCTTCAAATAATGCTGACAATAATGAAGACGAGAGAAATCACAAGAGGAAATTAGATGAGAAAGAGAATATCAGTGTAAAGAGGTCTCGTATGGAACAGAAGGAAGAGCTTGATGATGTCGTAGCATTAGATTGAACAAAAACCCTTTCTCTGTCAGCTCATCTGGGCACAACCAGATCATTTATAATGTCCTTTGTTCCAAAGGGAAAGTATTCACACCAGTGACTTTGAAAGTGAAAGCATTCATTTTGCTAGAACTATTAGAAACACTGCAGTATGCTGTATTGAAAGTAGGAATATAGTTTTTAAACCCTTTGAACAAACTGTGTGTATAACCAGTTATAAACTAAAACAACACAATGCATGTTGCCTTTTTAATGGAAATACTTACAGGTATCATTTAATAGTTTAAAAATATTGTGGTTTAGTAAAATTGATACCTGGTTATAAATATTATGCCTTTATTTTTGACTAGAAGAATTATTTTTAGCCTAGATCTAACCATTTTCATACTCTTAACTGAGACAAATTCAAAGAAATACCAAGTGCTATGCATTGAAACCCGTTTTTAAATGATAAATGGCACTATGTATATTAATATAATTAATATAACATTAATATATTAATGTTAATTTACTCAGATTTTCAGTTTTTACTGCCTGATATGTCTGAGTAAAAAGGCAATTTTTGTGTATTGTTACAATTTCAGGTTACTTATATTTGATGTTTTGTAAAACTCAAATTAACGAATATACTATATTATGAACCAAATAAATGGCATCTGCATAATTGTAAAAAAAAAAATGCTACTCAAAGGCAAGTTACACATTGAAACTACAGTAACCTGGATTTAGAATTTGGTTTCTTCGTATTATTTTAGATACTTGGTAAGATTTAACTTTCGTATTTCTTATTCTTAGTCTATGTAAAACCAAAAGAACATCATTTACTCTCTGTTAGTAATTCTCAAATTTAATACGTGTCATAGTCCAGGGAAGGAACTGTTAAAACTCAGACTGCTGGATAATCTCACTCACAATTTCTGTTGCAGTAAACGTGCAGTGGGACCTGAAATTTTGCATCTCTAAGGAGATCCTGTTGCTGGTGGCCTGGGGAACACACTTTGAGAATCCCTGCCCTATCTGCAGCAAGAGTCAAACATGACAATCTATGTTAACACAGTTTTATAAGATATAAAGATACGTTCTCGTTGCACTGAATCATTTAAGACTTTTCTGTTTCTCCAACTAGATTTTAACAGCTTTTTCTTTGAAAACATTTGAAATACTTTGCACTTTTTCGAGGCAGCCAATTACCTAGGATTGGAGTCACTTTTGTTCTGTTTTTATCACACCAACCAGACTTCAGTGGGATCTTTCAACCCCCTACAGGGCACAACAAACAGTCTAGCATGGAATAGGTATTATGGGCAAAAATTTGTTAAACAGCATCCCTTATTATAAGAATGCTGCTTTACTTCCTGATGATTGTGATTGAAAACACAGTAGGAATATTTTTCAAAGCACAGTAATATATTATTTTCCTGAATTGGGCATCTGAGGTCACACTGAACTGATACAATATTGACTATCTGAACAAACTGTAAACACCAAACTCTATACTGTTCTTACATAAATGCCAAGCATAGTGCTTATGGATACACACTTTAAATGTTGAGTACAAATTTCGGAGAAAGGTGTTTTTCAGTGCTGGGGAATTGAACCCAGGGCCTGAACTGTACTATACCGCAAAGCTGCACCCCCAGAGCTGAATATGTTTCTTGATCCATACTGTAAATCTTCCAAATATGACCTTCAGTCCATGAGTAAATCAACTTAATTGCTTCTTCCAGAAATGGGCTCTGCTACAGGCTTAGGAACAGTGTCTTTGCTTCTCTACTAAAAAAAGCAAAATTTCAATACAAATGCACATAAGATTTCCTATTGTGGTGACAGAAAAACAAGCTGCACACTATGAACAAACTGGACTTGCCCACTCTTCAGAGAGAATGCAAGTCTGATATTAAGTGCAAATGGCCATTAAGCATTAAGGTATTAAATAATCCATTGTTCTTTGCATATTACCAGCAAAGTCTCATAATTGTAGGCAAAAGAATTAAGTTATAATTATGGAAATGCAAGTACCATTTACTGCATGGGATTCTATGTTAAGAAATAGAAATAAATATTTCTAACAAACACTCTGAAAAGATGCCTTTGTTGACAGTTACTTATTTTACTCACATAAAATCAAACTCTGCCTATGGGGACTGGAAAAATAATATTCTCAAATAAATCTTTGCCAATTCATGGCTTACTAGCTGACAGTTTTCTTTTGATATAACAACACATGCTCTTGAAAGAGAAACTCAAAATCTATGCTTGACTTATGTCAGAAGAATTTTAGCAAGTAAATCTGATGCTCTAAAGTAAACTATTCCAAAGTGGTTTATAACAAGAGCACTGTTATTTATTCTGGTAGCAGTTTAGGCAGGGCTTAGCAGAGTTGGCTTGTGTGCTCCACTTTGTGCAAGCTGGGGCAGGTCAGCTTCCAGGATGGTACAGTGGAAAATTGGTCCTCATTGTTGTCTGGGAGCTCAGCCAAGCTGCTGGCCATTGACCTTGGTTCCTGTCCTTGTGGACCTCTCTTCTTGGGCTTACCCACAGTATGGCAGCTGGGGCCAAGATGGTGGGGCTAGAAGCTGCCTGTCAGGCAAAAGGATCACTTCCTCTGCATTCTACTAGTTAAGCCATCACAGAACTAACCCAGATTGAAAGGAAACAGAAATAACTTGTACCTCTCAATA